TAAGCATTCTAATTGTCCCTGTGATGTTTAAACAAACAATATAAAATAGTGCTGTTTCCCATGTGCTCTTCAAGCAGGGCTCCGTGCAATGCGCCATATGGGAACTGCGCTTGCACAGTGTTCTTGATCATCTACAGTTCCCATATGCAAGACTGGCCCATGAAGAAGCAGAAAGAGTTTTTGTCTTCACAAAAGTCATGTGGCTTTAAAAACATGACAGGGAAATACTTATCAAGCTTTTCTATGCATGAAAGGCTAAAGCAATTAAAATTCTGCTTGTTTTGCAACTATTAAAGGCACAGAACGTCTATCAGGGATTAAAGGTGACAACATTAATATCTATCAAAGTAACAATTGCTATGTTTTTCATCCATTATGTTAACCTTGAGGGGAAATTACTGCACAACATATTATTTTTCACTATATGTAAAGGTTTAGGATTTAATATTCCCAATAAAACATGGTTTGAAAATGTTCACATTGATTCATCTGCCCTGTATACTTAAGGTATATTAGAAGCACAGGATAATGTATCAGTAGTAGCTGACTCCAGCTAGTTTAAATAAAATGCTATTAAAGATAGCTTTAATGCCTAGCAGATTGCACTGACTGATTACATTTGGAGGGAATTGTAATCCTATTTGATTCGGATCTCTCAAATTATGGGTGTCAATAACGTGGCATTGGTTGGACAAGGTCTGTTTTATAGAACAAGATGCATTATAATTATGAACTTTGGTAGAGAGTACTTGTTTTTTTAGATGCTAAAGCTTTCTTGACTTAATGTCTTGACACTGAATGCAATTAGGTCTATATTCAATGAAGAGCTGATTAAGCTACTGAATATCATGGAAATAAATAAGCTTAAAGATAAGGTTCATTATAGAAATGGACTTAGTACTGTGACTTTGGTGGGAGAGATATTCAATTCATATATTAAAAACTTTAGAAATGTGTTTAATGTTGTAATACTTTTAGGCTTACAACTTCTAGGTAAGCTTCTAGGTAAGCAATTTTTCACATGCTAACCTAGAAGCAAATCCTACTGAACCCAGCAGGACTTACATCTGAGTAGAAATGCAAAGGGTTACACTGCAACGCAATTTCATTTTTAAAAAGCAGGGAAGCTGGTAATTCTTATTTCACAGTGCCGCTTTACCTGTTGAAGCTTTTATTCTTACAATACCCAGCATTCCCCAGCCATTTTTTCTCTCTCTAAATATTCTCAGGATTACTCACTAACAGAGCAGTCTCAGAATTAGGTTTCATTGAATTAAGTGAATTGATAATGCTTTCAGAAAAGGCTTTTATCATTTTATTACTCTTCTTTATTCACAAATTTTTACTATGGGAAGGGAGAATCTAGATATTCTAGTCACAACCCTCCCATATCCCAGCTACACACACATACACATCTGTCTGGATTCTATCAGATTCCCTGGGTTTGGCTTCCCAGATGCCAATCTACTTTGCAGTAGCACTGAGTCCAAGTTCCTCGTGAGCATGCCCAGCATTTGTGGGGAGCTGGCAGCAGTGGGCAGGGAAGAAGGTTGATTGATGGGATGGCATCTGGTGCAACCTTTTGTGGCACCCCCTTCCAGAAATGCTGCTGCCAGGAGCAATGAATGGAGAAAAAAGTTGGTCACCAAGTATGGTGATTCGTGTGCCAGCTTGCAGCACCCCTCTTCTGCACTCACTGTCACCAGTAGCAGCAGGTGAGGAAGAAGACTGGCCACCAGCAATGTTGCCTGGTGCTTGCGCACAGCACTCCTATTCCATGTCTTGCCCCTGCCCCTGACCAAGAAGGTTGCTGGCTGTGCAAGTACACAGATTTCCTCTTGGTTTGGCTCACTTTGCAGGACCAGGCAGAGCACAATAGTAAGCAAGATGGATAGATTCTTAAAGAGTTTCTCCCAACTGTACTTTAAGTGGTAGGAGCCCCTACATGATCTATTCCACAAAATACAGCAACCTATCTTAGACAGTTAGCTATGATCCGTTGTTGTATCATCTGAGTTTTTTGAGTTTCATCTTCAGTATCTGGCCTTCTAAAGAGCAATCAGGGTTGATCTCCTCTAAGACTGACTGGTTTGATCTCCTTGCAGTCCAAGGGACTCGCAGGAGCTTTCTCCAGCACCACAATTCAAAGGCATCAATTCTTTGGCATTCAGTTTTCCTTATGGTC